CCTGCACCCCTCCGCATCCGTGTGGCCCGGCACCAGACCTCTCCTTCCCTCCGAGCGGGATAGGATGTCTTTGGCGATGCACGATAGATGTTACGCCAATGCGGCTCAGGTCGTCGCGGTGGCTAACAACATGGCCTTCATCACCGGGGCCCTGGATAGGTCTCTCTCTTCTGGCCAGGCGCTCAGTGGAGACACCTTATCCCAGGCGAGGACCACTTCAGCAGCGATCCTGCGCATGTGCCAGGCGCTAGCTGTCGATGGCGGCCGCACGATGGCAGCAGCACAAGTGGGGGCCAGACACCTCTGGCTGGGGCCGGTGAACCTCAGAGAGGCGGAGAAGAGGCAGCTGCTGGACCTGCCCATCTCCCAAACGTCACTCTTCGGTCCGGAGATGCAGACGCTGATAACTAGGCTGGACACCGCAGCTAAGGACTCTGCTAGCCTAGCCCAGCATCTGGCTGCGAGACGCGAGGCCCGCCCACCAGCGCGGAGCCGAGACAGAGGCAGGGAGCGCTCGCCCGGCAGGCGCCCCGGACCATATCCACGCTCCGTGGCTCATCGTTCCCCAGCGACGAGGCCCCCGGGCCCAGACAGGCACACGGGAGGCTCGCGGGACCAACGCACCCACCGACGACCTCCCTATGGCAGAGGAGGTCGGGGTGGGAAGAATTTTTTCAATAAAAGCCGTGCGGCATTTCATCAGTACTCGCTGTCTGAGTCTCATTTGGGGGTATGTAACATGTCAAATGATTTGAATTCTGTTTGTGTTACTTCTCGAGCATATAACGTGGCTCCGCTAGGCCTGCAGCCCCCAGAGAAGGGCGTGCAGCGTGCTATGCGGGCCGCGGGCTCCGATTCACGGGTTCATGTTTTGCCCTCCCGGAGAGAGGGCAGGCGGAGGGATCTGGTAAGTGATAATGTGTGTGCTCCAGCCGAACGCGTGTTAGCATCTCTGAGCTACAAGGCTAACACGGGGTTTCCCACTCCAGGGGCTCGTCCCCCCCTCCATGAGGCAAGAGCCAAGGGGGGGCACAACAGCCGTGTCACGTGTGGTGAGCAGAGCTACAAGGCTAACACGGGGTTTCCCACTCCAGGGGCTCGCCCCCCCCTCCATGAGGCAAGAGCCAGGGGGGGCACAGCAGCCGAGTCACGTGTGGTGAGCAGTCCCGTACTTATGACGTCGGGCCTGCAGAACACGTGACCGCCCTCGGCGCTCACGGTGTGACGCAGGGGCCGCCCCGGCCCTTTCAGCCACCCCCCCTCCCTGCTAGGAACACCAGGAGAGGGCGGGGCCGTGACGTCTCGTGTTCCAACTCCCGTTCCGCCCCTCACAGATTTCTACAGCATCTGGAGAGAGCAGGGCCTACTGACAGATATTTGGCTGGAGAAAACTCTGCGCAGAGGTTACGCGCTGCAATTTTTCCGAAAGCCACCACCATTCCGAGGCGTACGGGCAGTACGCTCTCAGGTACGGGGATCGACAGAGGCACTACAAGCGGAGGTCTCCTCTCTGCTGAGTCGAGGCGCAGCAGTGGAGGTAGACCCGCAGGACGCCACCAGGGGGCTGTACTCCCCTTACTTCTTAGTGCCAAAGAAATCAGGCGGGGTGCGTCCAATTCTGGATCTGCGCGTGTTAAACGAGTGCATTTCCAAACGGCAGTTTCGGATGCTGTCCACAAGGCAGCTCCTCGAGTGTGTCAGGGAAGGAGACTGGATGACATCCATAGACCTGACAGATGCGTACTTCCACGTGCCCATAGTGCCAGAACACAGGAGGTTTCTGCGCTTCGCAGTGGGAGAGAGGAATTACGAGTACTGCCGTCTACCCTTCGGGTACGCACTCGCGCCTCGGACCTTTTCCAAATGTGTGGAAGCAGCTCTGGAGCCGATCAGACGTGCGGGGGTAAGAATATTAACCTATATAGACGATTGGTTAATACTGGCCCCATCCAGGGAAGTGGCCCTGAGCCACACGCACTGGGTCCTGTCCCACATACAGCGTCTGGGCTTTGTGGTGAACAGGGAGAAGAGCAAGCTGCAGCCAGCCCAACGCATGGTTTATCTCGGTCTGCAGCTAGACTCTGTGATATTCCGTGCTGCATTGTCCGTGGACAGACGGATGAATATTACCCGTCTGGCCTGGGAGGTTCTGGCGGGCCCCAGAGTCCCCGCTCGGCGCCTCAGGTCCCTGCTGGGAATGATGGCAGCGGCTCATGCTGTGGTGCGGCTAGGCCTGCTCCACATGAGAAATTTTCAGAGGTGGTTCTCGCGCCTCAGGCTTCACCCCTCCCGGGACGGGGGGAGGCTGATCTGGGTTCCCCAAGGGGCAGCATCGGACATCAGGTTCTGGCTCACTCCGGGTCTATTGCGGGACGGAGTGACTCTGGCCTGCGCCGTGTCTCACGTCGAGGTGTTCACGGACGCGTCGCTCGAAGGATGGGGCGGGGTCCTCGGCCAGAGCTCTGTAGGAGGCTGCTGGTCGGACCCAGCCCGTCACATCAACCTGCTGGAGATGGAGGCAATGCACAGAGTACTGCTGCACTTTGCCCCTCAGCTGCAGGGGAGACACGTGATGGTGCGCTCAGACAACACCACAGTGGTCTCCTATCTGAACAGGCAGGGGGGCACCAGGTCCCCCGCTCTCCATCGCATGGCGACGGTGACGCTGCTGTGGGCGGCGCTTCACCTCCTGTCTCTCAGGGCGCGCCACGTCCCGGGGGTCCGGAACGTGGGAGCCGACAGGATGTCCAGGGGGGGCCCACTCCAGGACGAGTGGGGCCTGGCCCCACGGGTAGCTGCGGAGATCTGGCGGAGGTTCGGCTGTCCAGTGGTCGACCTTTTCGCCAGTGCAGAGAACGCACAGTGCCCGTCCTGGTTCGCCTTAAGGGCCGCGGACGAGCCGCCTTTAGGCGTGGACGCTCTGGCTCATTACCCATGGCCAGGCGGCCTGTTGTACGCTTTTCCACCGGTGCGTCTCCTGCCGGTCCTGCTGCGGAGGATCGAACAGGAGAGGAGATCGGTGATCCTGGTGGCTCCGGACAGTCCGCATGCCCGGTGGTTCCCCTTCCTGAGTGGCATGGCGGTGATTGAGCCCTGGGCCCTCCCGGACGAGCCGGGGGCTCTAGTCCAGGGGGCAGGAGCCCTGTTTTCACGTCCGATAATCGGCCGCAGGCTCTGGGTTTGGAGGTTGAGAGGCGGAGCCTCGTAGATCTGGGTCTTCCCCCCGCGGTGGTGGAGACCATTCAGGGAGCGAGGGCGCCGTCCACCGTGAGGGCCTATGCCACGAGGTGGAGGCTATTCAGTGTCTGGTGCGATTCCCGTTCCTGGGATCCCAGGTGTTGCCCGCTGGAGGGGGTCCTGGGATTCCTACAGGAGCTCTTCGAAAAGGGGAGGGCTGTCGCTACCTTGGCGGTGTTCGCGGCAGCCATTACTTCGGGTCACGACGGATTCGGGGGATTCACAGCCCGTTCTCACCCGTTGGTTAAACGTTTTCTGCGGGGGGCGCGCAGGAGGAGGCCCCCGCTCCAGAGAACGCCTCCGGTTTGGGACCTCAGGGTGGTCCTTAGGGGGCTGTCGGGTCCGCCTTTTGAACCGGCGGCGGAGGCGAGTCCCGAGTGTATCGCCTTTAAGACGGCCCTCTTACTGGCGTTGGCGTCTGCGAAGAGGGCGGGCGATTTGTGTGCGCTCTCCGTCCATGCGTCGTGCCTGTCCTTTGGAGAGGACGACGGCATGGTGGAATTGTGGCCCAATCCGGCTTTTCTCCCCAAGGTCATCACGTCGGCCTTTAGGTCGAGGGTCATCAGGATTAGGGCTTTCCACCCGCCGCCGCATGCCTCCCCCGAGGAGGAGCGGCAGCACCTTCTGTGTCCTATCAGAATGCTGAGGCATTACCTCGCCATGACGTCGTCATTCAGGTCGGGTGATCAGCTGTTTGTGTGTCTGGGCCCCAAGAACAGGGGCGCCCCGCTGTCGGCTCAGCGGCTGGCGCATTGGGTCGCCACGACGGTGCGGCGGGCGTATCAGACGCAGGGTCTGGCCCCCCCGGTGGGTTTCAGGTCGCATTCCACGCGTGGGATGGCGGCCTCTACGGCCCTTCTCAGGGGGGCGTCGGTCGAGGACGTTTGCCGTGCGGCTTCTTGGGCGTCGTCCTCTTCTTTCGTCCGGTCCTATCTTTCGGATGTGTCGGACCGGTCGGTGGCCCATTCCGTGCTGAGTGCAGCGGACTGAGTTAGACCGTTGGGTCCTTCCCCAGAGGGGGGCCTTCGGTCTATTTTCCGCCCTGGTGCAGGAGCTCTTGGGAGAGGCATCCTACAGGTGCGGTACATTTTGTGTGTGTGGTCGGTCTGGTAGTCCACGTCAGGAGCTCTTGGGAGAGGCGTCCTGTGACTACGGATGACCTACGGCTTGTGTTACGTGGGGGTATCCTTGGTAGGAGTGGCCCCGTAACACGCTTGTTTCTTCTGCCCTGAGTCCTCTCACGTTGTGAGGGTCTTGCTCGGGCGGAGCTCCAATCACCTTCGCTGGCCTGCTGGGAGTACATTTTCCTACGGCCTCCGCGTTGTGTCCCACTAGCGTAGTCCTAAGGGACGTAGCACCATGACGTAGAATTAATAGTTACTTAATGTAACTTAAGTTCTACGAATAGGTGCGTAGTCCCTTAGCTACGAGCCCATCAGGCCAGCCCGGCTTGGCAGAGTTCAAGAGGGGGTACGGCCTTGTGCAGGGGCATTTATAGAGGAAGGTGGCTGGTGATTGGAGCAAATTATTTTGATCTCTCTGGCGCGTGACCTGGGGGTCACGAGTGATATCCCACTAGCGTAGTCCTAAGGGACTACGCACCTATTCGTAGAACTTAAGTTACATTAAGTAACTATTAATTCTCGAGTGTTTGTGAACTCACAAATACCGCGAGAATTCAGCTTGCAGGCAAGGTTATGTAGTTTGCACTCTACAGGCATACAGGTTACCTTTGAGCTGCACGTAGAGAGCGCTGATTTAAAATGGGAAAAGTCGTGTTTTTCTCACTTTTAGTGGCTACTATAGCACTGTTTCTCGGAGAACGCATCGTTAATATAAGGTAAGCCTAAAAACTTAATTTCCTCGACCAGAGCACTATAGTTTAAGTTATCTCTTTCTGACCCTTGTGCACAAAAACGGCAACAAACAGGATAAACATAATATAAGCTTAATCTGGATGCCATGTCATCTGTCCTGATAAAGCTATGTATTTGTACTATTACTGCAGGAAAAGAGCACTGGCACATCGGGAGCTGGAGAAGAACCACCTTCCGAACTGTGTTCTGCTTCCAAACCTGAGTAAGTGCATCACAGATACAACTGATCAGATGTCTCTGTGGTCATCAGGTACCAAACTTTAACCCTTTAACCATAATCCTTAACCCTACAGAAAGGTTTTCTCAACCATTTTGTAACGCTAGCTGACTAGGGGTATGTGTCTTTTGGTATCTGTCACAACTTTAAGATTTTTCATCCGAGGTGAAGTTGGCCGAACGTTTGATATTCGCCTGATATTCGCAAGGGACCGTCTGCAAATTGCAAGAGGTCAAAACGACAAAAAAAAAAGACTAAATATCAACAAAGATATTTTTCCAAGAATTGATGGGTGTAGTAGCTCCCATTTAATGATAGCTAGCTACTACAGGCAAGAATTTGGGAAAAAAATGTTTTCCTCTTCACAGTAGGAATAATGAAATTGGAAAAATGAACTAAAAATCAACAAAGTTATTTTTCCCAGTTTTGATGGGTGTAGTAGCTCCATTTGAACAATAGCTAGCTACTAGAGGCAAGAATTTGAGAAAAATATTGTTTTCCCCTTCACAGTAACAAAAATGAAATTGGAAAAAATCACACAAAATCAACAAAGACAGTTTTCCCAGTTTTGATGGGTGTAGAAGCTCCATTTGAACAATAGCTAGCTATTACAGGCAAGAATTTGGGAAACAAATGTTTTTCCCCTTCACAGTAACAAAATTGAAATTGCAAAAATTGACTTAAAATCAACAAAGACACTTTTCCCAGTTTTGATGGGTGTAGTAGCTCCCATTTAATGATAGCTAGCTACTACAGGCCTCAGTTGGTAGAGCATTGGCCTTAAGGCCAGAAGGTCGTGGGTTCAATTCCCACCTCTGCACCTTCTCCATCGACTCCCACTGATGACTGCTGTCGTTGTGTCCTTGGGCAAGACACTTAACCCCACTTTGCCCAAAGCCCCCACTGAAAGATCAAGGCTTTGCTCACACTCAGAGAGCAGCCGTCCTCCTGTGGACTCACCACCTGCAGAGGGTCAGTGAGGGGCTGGTGCTATGAGACTTGGGTGGCATCTCTGACTGCCACCCCCCTGACCCAGAAATGGATTAAAGGGTAGAAAATGGATGGATGGATGGATGGATAGCTACTACAGGCAACATTTTGGGAAAAATATTTGTTTCCCCTTCACACAAGCAATTATACAATTGGAAAAAATTACTAAAAATCAGCATAGACACGTTTCCCAGATTTGATGGGTGTAGTAGCTCCCATTCAACGATAGCTAGCTACTACAGGCCAAATTTTGGGGATTTCCCCCCCCCCCCCCTTCATACAAGCAATCACAAAATTGGAAAAAATAACAAAAAATCAACAAAGGCTTTTTTTCCCCAGATTTGATGGGTGTAGTAGCTCTAATTGAACAGTAGCTAGCTACTACTTGCAAGAATTTGGAAATATATATATACATACAGTGGGGCAAAACAGTATTTAGTCAGCCACCGATTGTGCTAGTTCTCCCACTTAAAATAATGACAGAGGTCTGTAATTTTCATCATAGGTACACTTCAACTGTGAGAGACAGAATGTGAAAAAAAAATCCAGGAATTCACATTGTAGGATTTTTAAAGAATTTATTTGTAAATTATGGTGGAAAATAAGTATTTGATCACTTCAAACAAGGAAGATCTCTGGCTCTCACAGACCTGTAACTTCTTCTTTAAGAAGCTCTTCTGTCCTCCACTCGTTAATGTATGTCTGTATTAATGACACCTGTTTGGTGCCATGGCTGGGTCTTCCAGCATGACAATGATCCCAAACACACCACCCGGGCAACGAAGGAGTGGCTCCGTAAGAAGCATTTGAAAGTCCTGGAGTGGCCTAGCCAGTCTCCAGACCTCAACCCCATTGAAAATCTGTGGAGGGAGTTGGGCCAAAATACCAGCTACTGTTTGTGCAAACCTGATAAAGATCTATAGTAATCGTTTGACCTCTGTTATTGCCAACAAAGGTTATATTACAAGGTATTGAGTTGAATTTTTGTTATTGACCAAATACTTATTTTCCACCATAATTTACAAATAAATTCTTTAAAAATGTCAATTCCTAAAAAAATGTTTCACATTATGTCTCTCACAGTTTAAATGTACCTATGATGAAAATTACAGACCTCTGTCATTATTTTAAGTGGGAGAACTTGCACAATCGGTGGCTGACTGAATACTTTTTTTGCCCCACTGTATATATATATTTCCAAATTCTTGCCTGTAGTAGCTAGCTATTGTTCAAATGGAGCTACTACACCCATCAAAACTGGGAAAAATATCTTTGTTGGTTTTTGGTGAATTTTTCCAATTTCATTTTTGTTACTGTGAAGAGGAAAACAATATTTTTCCCAAATTTTGCCTGTAGTAGCTAGCTATCATTCAGTGGGAGTTACTACACCCATCAAAACTGGGAAAATTTACTTTTTAAAAACGCCCTTTTTATTGTATTCACCAACCCATCTGCAACGTTCTGTCAAATCTTGCACTTTGCAGACAGTCCCTTGCTGAGAGCTTAGCACACGTCTGAGCGGAGACTTCATCTTCATTGTTTTTCGTGTTATAAATCGTCAGCTGCAGCCTAAGTAAAGTTTTTTTTTGATAGGTGGCAACATTGTGAACAGTATTTCATACTACACTCTTCACTAAACTGAAAATACGGACAGGCTTTGAATCCAGGGGGATATTGTTCGAGTATCAGGCGAATATCAAACGTTCGGCTAACTTCACCTCGGTGATTTTTCAGACAGAAAAGTTAAAAAGAGAGGACCACCCTCTCTCGGCCAATCAGCCAATATAAACATATAAAAGATAACATGTTTCCTAATAAGATGAAGACGGCATGTTGTTTTTTGTTCAGAATGTTACTTAAACAATACTTTCTGTTGGTTCAATGTATGAAACAAAACCATAAAGTTAGGTACCCAAGTTAAAAGTGTCACTTGTCATCTTTTAGATCAAGGGTCCGAGGACATCACTGTACTTGAAAATGGACTTGCTTTTATCAGCACGGTAAGAATAACAGGCTGCATCTAAATTCATAAAATCACCTGCCTCCTTCCTTACCTTTCCTTGCCCTTTTAAATGAGCATTTTATGAGACGGGATAGATTTAAAGCCACAAAGGTGTAAAAAGAAGAAAGCTTGACAAGAAAGTTTTTAATTTGGGTCATGGCCATAATCCACTGGGAGAAAGAAAAAGTACTCTGTTGCTGACTGGAATAACTTGTTCTTCTTGCGCTTTAAGGCTTTGACAGAATTCAATATGTTCTTGACAGGTGTGTCCCATATGTAAGAGGAATCTTTTATTGTTTTTTATGGGTCTACGTTCAATATACTTTGTTGTCAAAGGAGAAGCCTACAACCATAAAACTTTAGATTTAAGGGCACAAAATTTGCCCTTTACACAAGACAAATATAAAGTGCTGACAGATGCAGAACATATAATGCAACAAGCTACAAACTGAATGGAAGCTGACCAGTGGGGGCGGGCCGATGACGTGCGCTGACATGCTTGCAATACCACCCCGGGCCGATGGGGGTGGACCCGGAATAAGAATTAGCCAATGCTAACATATAGCATTGGCAGACCTCTCGAAAACGTCTTTACAGGATGGACCAAAAGTTGGCTCTTGGCCCAAAGCTCCGTTCCACATGTGTGTCAATGCTGAGGGGGGTGATTTTATTTGGTCCACTCTAGTTTACTTGCGGTGAATTTTTGAAGTCTCTCGTTCAAATGAATGGAGCTCTCGCCAGCTGACGCATGCGCAAATGCGTTTTTTCACAATTTTCTTGTGGGCAGGACCACTCACGGCAATTTTGGATAGCTCCAGTAGAGCACTATTTATGGCCCATTAGTTGAACGGCGGATATAGGTGGGACTACGTCCGTTAATTTTTACAGTCTATGAAGCTGACTAAGATTTTATATTTTAACGTCCAAACTGAGGGCATTTGAGACTCTGCGATCTGCAACATTTTACTACATGTTTTTCTATTATGTGTCATTCTGTCATTGTGTATCTATTGCACGTGTAAATAGGCTGCCTCTTGGCCTAAAGGTTTTTAATATTATTATGCTATGTCCATATTGATTTACAGCACAGCTACAGTAGCGCCATATATGGAATTTTGTGATACAATCAAAAGGAAATTATACAAATAAAGTTAACGCCTGGATTCCAAGTATTGCATGACTCATTGGTGGAGCTGAAGTTGGCTGGATGGTGCCGTGAACTCATTGGCAACTTTATGTTAGTAAAGCAGATGGCCACATGATACATCTGGCTGCATTTGGCCCATGGGCCTTAGTTTGGACATTCCTGCCATAGACGTGGATTAAATTATCCTAATTGGATTTACCAAGACAATACAAACATAGGCTCCAACCAAGGATCACAGAGGGCACTACATTTTTATTTTTTTCTAAGCCCAAAACAGAGGGTCACTGTGTATGATTATGATGTAGGTATTACATCGATGGCCCCTTATTTGTTCGTTAAAATTCAATCACAGAACCTTTTTAGGGGCTTTCAACTTTTCACTGCTGTTTTAAGAGCGGTTCATGCATGTTTGAGCAATGCATATTCTCCCTGTGGCTCCTCTGACCACCGAATTTATTTTCTGTGTTACGTCGATGATGGTCACTTTTGTTTTGAAGGGAAAAGGCTCTGCTGATTGCTAACTTCATTTGTGATCTGAGAGGAGCACTTGATTTTGATATTTAAGATGAGGTTGTGAAGAAAGAGACGAGGGACAGAAGATATGTAGCAGCAGCTGCCACGGCGCTAGCAGTTTTGACCTTCTGATAAGTAAAACATTCAAGTGGAAATTCACTTGTGCATTTTTTAGAATGACAAACTCCGAAATATCCGATGTTGCATAAAAGACAGACATACAGGTTGACAGATGTTGCTTTCCGATTACAACTGCAATTAGTATAACTTTTACTAAAAACAAAAAACTTGGAATAACAATATTGTTGATGGCCAAACTTTTTAAACAGCATTGTAATTAAGCCAGTGTCAGGGAAGGGGTGCTGACGTGCTTGCAATCTCACTCCTAGTCGGTGGGCGTGTACCCGGAAAGAGAATTACCCAATGCATTTGTATGTCGGTGTCTTTCATATATATATTTCTTTGCCGCTGTGGACTTTTGAATGCACTCCTTAAATTAATGGGGCTCATACCGACTGACTCATGCACAAATGCGTTTCCCCCCCCCCCCCCCCCCACATTTTCCAGCCCCCGGAGCCATTTGGAAAAAGCCCACAGAAGATAAAAGTGGTGGCACATAAGTTTCAACGGCGGAGATAGGTGTGACTACGTTCGTTAATATTTACAGTCTATGGTGAGGAGAGGAGTCTTTCCCCTGACTAAATTTAATTCAGTTAAGTTGAGAATGTGAGCTACGTTCTTTTAATTTTTGGCATTTATTGAAATATGACATTAGTATCTCTTCTATGCACAGTCTATTGGCATCTCTTATATGGACATTCTTAAAGGATCTGAATGAATCATTTTATTGTTTTCATATTCCACAGGGTTTGAGGTATCCTGGCATGCCCAGCACAGACACTACTGTGGGCAAAATGTACATATTGGACCTTAAAGAGCAGAGAATTAAGCCAATAGAGCTGCGCATGCCAAGAAACTTTGATTTGGAATCCTTTAACCCTCACGGCATAAGTGCATACACCAACCCAAGTGGTAAATGAGCTCTTTTGTGTTCAGAATAATTAAAGGTCATTGTTTGCGTCTGTATTTCTAACTGTTGTCTTCATGTCCTTGCAGATGGCAGTGTCCGTCTGTTTGTCGTCAGTCACCCAGAGCAGAAAACCCAAATCGAGGTGTTTACATTTGTGGAGGAGGACTACTCTCTCGTTTATGTGAAAACCATCAGACATGAACTTCTCTACAGGTAACACTTGGTTAGTTTGGATTGTATACATGTTCTTAAGCTAATGTACCTGTTTCTCAAACAGCAACAAAAGGACAGGTTCCTGTTTTGTGTGTGTTCGTTTGACATTTGAAAAAGTTTGGTCACTAGCACAACCACAAAGCAGCATTTTTTACTCACACGCACACACTAGCCAGTGGTAAGATAATTCAATAACCACACTCTATATTGGTAGAAATATCTGTATAAAGTCTGACGAGTCCTGTTTCTGTGCACCATGTAGAGGAGCTGCTTCACAGGGGTCTCGTAACTTTCCCTTAACACACAAACTTTGTAACTTTAATTGGAAATTACTAATTGCATAACATCCTGTTTAATTTGAACTCTGCTCAGTCGCTGCAAGATATATCATTACATTTCCGCCGCGCTCTTAAAAGCGCCATGATTCCAGTTAAGTTTGGCTTTTGCTTCTTGTAACTAAACTCGTAAGAACTATGTATTGATCCCGAACAAAATGAGTATGGAATACCGTCCAAATACATTCATATATTATATCTAATACTAGCTTGGCTTTTTCCTGCACTCTTAAATGTGTCACTTCCCGTTGTCTGGTTTTGTTTTTCACACCTTAATTGGGTCCGATTAAATATCGAATGTTATCAAATAACGTTATTTGAAAGTTTAATTGATCACAGTGACCGCTCTAAATACTGATGCTTGACCAACCTGATTCTTCTTTACAGTGTGAATGATATTGTGGCAGTGGGAGCGGAGAGCTTCTTTGCCACCAACGACCATTATTTTGAGAATGAGTTTTTGAGAAGCACGGTAGAGTTGATTCTGGCTCAGCCTTGGACCAACGTTGTCTACTACAGCCCAACAGAGGTCAAGGTCGTCTCCGATGGATACTATTGCGCAAACGGCATCAACATTTCACCAGATCAAAAGTAAGAGACCACTTATTATGCTGAATTGTCTGTTTGAGTTTTAACCATGTAACATCAGGGAACCAGCCCGCACAATCCCATCTCCCTGCTCAATCTGCTCTTACAAATCCTCAGACTGTATCTATGTGATGGACAGAGCTGTTTTCTGCCTGTTTAAAACTAATTGCCTCTAATAATCTTATTATTAGAGAAAACTAATAATCTCTAGAAAACCATGACATTTATTGAATCCAAAAGGTAGCTAGTTAAATGTCACCAAAAACATTAAATTGTCTACAATAATCAGTCTTCCTTGCCTCAGGTCCAGTTTTGGTTAAACCCAAGCTAAACTGCACTCTAACCACAGATCCATGTTTGCCTCTTCTTCTCTTTAAAAATCTGTATCAAATTAATAGTAGAGTACATACTGTTCCTAAACATTAGCAAACGTGTTTTGCCAAATTATTCATCCATCCATCCATTTTCTTTCCCTTAATCCATTTCTGGGTCGGGGGGTGGCAGCTCGTACACAGAGCACCAGTCCCTGATCCTCCTGCAGGTGGTGAGTCCACAGGAGACTTGATCTTTCAGTGGGGGCTTCAGGCAAAGTGGGGTTAAGTGTCTTGCCCAAGGACACAACAACAGCAGACATCAGTGGGAGCATTACTATTGGAACAATATATCATCAGGAGGGTAAAACTAACCTGTCTCAACCAGCTAACGTTTCCTATTAGTGGGTCAACAATCCATCGCTTGGATTGTTGTTGAAGGTCTTGTGGTGGGCTTGAACTCACATCCTTCAGGCTCAATGGCCAATGCTCTATCAACTGAGCCACTGTTTTACCAAATTAAATCAAATTAAATGGTAACGGTGTGTAAATTGGTCCAATATGCTGATATCTCAATGTGGTGCTCCACATTGGGCTGGGCACCGTTTTAATGGTTCCAACAGGAGTCCCCACTGGTGCCATGAAAATGCAATTCAGTCTGTGCCATTTTTGTTTCTTTTGGTTTTTATTGTGGTAAAAACAAATTAAAAAGTGGAAATATTAAAATGTCTTCACTTAAATTAAAAACATCTTCATGTGATTTTTTTATTAAGCGGTATTGGACTTACTTGTTTCATTAATGAAAATAACCTTATTAGCTCAAAGGGGTGTTCCAGCAGCTCATAGGCTCCACAGGTCACAGTGACACACAGCAGGTGCATCTTGTAAAGATCATTTAAATGTTGCAGGGAGTGAGAGAGATTGTGGGACGATGTGTCCCGTGCATAACTTTGTACCAGTGCGCACCAGATTCAATAGTGACGCGAGTGGACGATACTATGCTTCTTTGTCTGCAGTAAATATTTAAAGAATCATGTGGGAACTAAACTTTTTAAGCATGTGTTTGGGAGTTCCATGTGCGAGAATGTGGGGTTTGAATTTAGTCAAAATCTGCCCACTCATCAGAAGCCTTATTCTGAAGAGGACCACTGTGGTAAAGTTCTTACCTTTTTAGTATAAACAGCTGTGTATCATATTAATAAGAGTGATTCTAAAACTCACAGCATCCGTTCTCTCCAAATGGAAGTGTATTTCATCATGAATGCACACGGTACTATTGATGCATGAGAAAACAAGTCATGTTAGTTTCTTTGCACAAACAAGTGCATTCTGGGCAATGGACTGACTCTGTTAAACCACAGGAGCAAAAAGACAAGCGTGACATTGGTGCGCAAAGTAAAGCGGACAAAATCCCCGTAACAGGCCGTTTTACCCATCCTCATCTTTTCTTTATCCATTCAGCCTTTATTTTCTATTTAATATTGTGTTCTGGCCGTACTTGCATGCAAAAGCCACATTCTGACAGACTTCTGAAACTAAGTAGGCATTGCCTGGTTAGTGCTGTGATGGGGGACCTCTGGAAACTCCACAGTGGGGCGGCTGCGGCTGTAAGGTGCCAAACTGCTGTTGTGTCCTTAGGCAAGACACTTCACCCACATTGCCTAGAATGAGTCTGGTGTGTGTGTGAATGGTTGGTGGTAATCAGTGTGCCAGAGCTGCCTGTTAATCACCACCGTTTCTGGAGAAAAAGAATATTTTTTCACTATATAAAACGGTAAACGTATATATATTCTCAAGATTATGTTTTAAAGGGCAAAATTTACAAAAAGGATGTTTAGCGTTTGTAAGTAAGTGCTGATCCCAGAATGATGTCATATGTTTATGTTGCAGGCATGTGTACGTGGCTGATGTATTTGACCACAACGTTCATGTTTTGGAAAGGAAGCACAATAATGAACTGGTGTTTGTGAAAGTAAGTTTCATATTGACAAACCTTTGCACAAGTCAAGAGCCGTAGTCAACTAAAAACGCAAAAGACCTTGAATTTAGAAACTGTTTGCTTCCTTATCATGGATGGAAATCTGACTTCATTGCATTTTGACACTTTAGGAACCACCAGACGTCTAGCGTTTTGCGAGCGCAATGTTCGGTTTGGTTGGTGTGACACTAACTTGTTTTTGAGGTAGCAGGGAGCCGTGCCATTTATGGCTTTGTATGTAAGAAGGATTTTAAATGTAATTCTATTCTCTATAGGAAGCCAGTAGATTGGTTTAAACACTGGAGTTATGTGTTCCCTTTTTTAGTGCCTGTTAAGATCCTTGCTGCTGTATTTTGTACGAGCTGGAAGCTTTTTATAGAAGATTTAGGGCACGCTGCCAGCAGTGTTCAAGCCTTGAGGTGACAAATGCATGGATTTGTTTTTCTGTGTCACTTTTAGGAAGGATATTCCTGATTTTAGCGATGTTGTGCATGTGGATATATGTTGTTTTTGTGGCATGGCTTATTAAATGCCTTGAAGGAGAGTTCTTGGTCAATTACAACTCCAAGATTCCTCACAGTGTGCTAGGTGCTGCGCTAACATTATTGAGTGTGATTATCTGATCAGCGAGAGAGTAGCGCAGACGCTTCGGACTGATAGTTTAGGGTCATCCATGTGTTTAGGTCTATTATGCAGGTGCTAAGCCTTTCTAACTGATCTGTCTAGTTTTGTTTCATAGATGGGTAAAGCTGTGTGTCATCTGCATAGCAGTGGAAGTTAATTTCATGCTTTTTGAAGATGTTGCCTAATGGCAGCATGTAGAGTCTGTCTGTGTATCGATCCCTGCGGCTCAACAAATTTTACTGTAGAATAAGGTGAGGAGTTTCGGTTACAGTAACAAACTGATACAGATCCAATAAATAGGATTTAAACCAGCTAAGTGCTGCTCTTCTGAGACCTATGTCACATTCTAGCCTCTGCAGTAGAATGTTGGGGTCTATTGCGCTAGAACTACATTGCTTTCACGCGTCATCTAAACGCTGCGCAGGAGCCTGGTCGTTACTGTTAATTGTACGGGGAGGCTAGAATCAGGGTCTTGTCTGGCACCAGTCCGAGAAAACGTGTTTGCGCTAGAGTTTAGTTATTGAGATTGTCTGTGTGGCAGTGTCTTTTTAGTTTTAGTTGAAACGAGACTCCTTGTGTTTTTTTGACTCTGAAGTGGTCCTGAACAATTTGTTACCCCTTTTATTAAAGGCCATTTAATTAACCGTTCTACATCTTGGTTTTGTACGCTACATTCCTCTTCCCCTTACTAGCTCAACTATAGGGTTGTAACAGCGACGCTGGCCGCATCCTGATAGTTTTATGTTTTATAAGAGCTGCTGCATTTAATTCAGATTTGAATGACTCCATAGTGTTGCCCAGAGCTTGGTAGATGACCGAGGGACTGACACAGCTGTGAGCAGGCTCACCTGAAATGGTAAATAACTTTGGTTGTATTAGATCTTTGAAATGTGTTCTTTTCATTATGGTTTTATCCCATGGCACAGGAAAGTCTTTCAGAGTGAGATTAAACGTGATTAAGAAATTATCTGATCGTAATGGGTTTTGACGCAGGACGTTATTTCTGTCAGGAACTCACTGTGGGGATCAGGAGGTCGGTATATTACTATAATTAACACAGCATTTTGGTTTCTTTAAGAACCCCATTTTTAGGCCTATTTTTGTCTGTCTGAACTTTTATTAAGTTGTTGTGCCTAACACCTTAAGGCAGATTTTTTAGCATAGTATTTTACTAGTTTATGCAAGGCACACACAGTCTCAATCTGTCTAGGTTCTGAGTACTTGGTTAGTAACTGTGGTCTGAGAGGGACTTTTATGAAGCTGCGTTTTAATCATTTAGTTAAGATTTTAAAACATTCTGGATGTATAATGGTTACCAAAGGGGTAATAATTCTGTACAGCAGGCAGAAGCATGATGGGGCTTTTTAAATATGATCCGTGTGATTGCAGAGCGTGGCGGTGGGATCCCTGTGTGACAACCTGGAGGTGGACCCCAAAACTGGAGACGTGTGGTCGGGATGTCACCCCAATGCATGGAAGCTTTTTGTCTTCGACCCAAGTGACCCTCCTGGATCTGAGGTGAGCGAGAACTTGTCTGATACGTAGTGATGGCAATATGAAGCCCCATGAAGCCTTGAGGGATAGCAGCCTATTACTCGGCCCATGAGTCGAAGGCTCGAGGTGAATCATGCTCCACTACGCCATCATGTGGACAAAGAAATACATAACACTCTTAAGTGCTTACAATGAATGGTGAGATCTAATGTTAAAATTTATATTTACAATCTATGGTCTAACGTGTTGTGTTTGAAATGATGCTTCATGAACTATGAACTATTTGAGTCTTTCAGTCAATTGTGTTGATACAACAAACACATCCAAAGTAATACAGTTCTACAGAAAGTGATTAATGGAGGAAAAACTACCAAGAGGTGGATTAATTAAACACAACAAACCATTTATTCCCAATAAATAAATACATTTACTTTGCAACACAAAATTTATTATGGGTAGACCGGGATTCGAACGCTATATCTTCTACTTCGGAGTCCGTCATATACCGACTGCGCCACACAGCTGTTGTAAAATGTATCATCCAGCGTATTATTACTAATAACTTGAAGCCTTGATATATGAGGTTTTACTAAAGTGAAACGTTTTTAATTGTATTTCATATGAAGTAGTTTCTCTATACTTAGTACAGGACTGCTCCACATCACGCACACACACGTACGCACACACACACACGTACGCACACACACGTACGCACACAGAGGCAGATGGGGACAGCCATACAGTCTATGGTACAGCCGCGGATCACAAAGCACCTGTCAAAGCAATGCACTCTCCGAACTATACGAAGCACTATATGAACCGTCACGTGGTGCGGCCGCTACGCGAGGCTTCGAACGTCACCACACACGTGACCAATACACGCCTCGACCCACACTTCACAAGAAACGCCCCCAGATTACTCGGTCCACGCTTCGAAGACTCGGTCCGCTCAGCACATCACTACTGATACGGTTTACATCTCTTTTATATTTTAGGTAGTAGAAAAAAAAGTGGGACCTTGAACACATATTTTTCCTACTATTTTGGAGCATTACGCATTCGTTTTCCTATGTCTGAGAAATCGATGTGCCACGCATTCCTTTAATGTTGATTTTTCATGTGAAATTAGTTCTTTAAATAGCATGGCTGTTTGGAATAACACCAAAACAAAGAAAACTCCTCCCTCTGGTGGTGGCATAAGGAGCCTTCTTACCCTTCATACTGGTTTCATCATATTTATTCCACTTAGAATATTATTTCTCTTCCTAAAACATGAAACTGGAGGCCGGGATCTATAGCCTGTTGGTCCATGGGAACCGATCCCTCTCAATGTGGATCTCCCCAAGGTTTCTCATTTTTTTGTTTCTTTTCTTGTTGATGGAGGAGGGTCTAAGGACAGTGATCATCTGGGACATTTATTCACATTCATGGACATTGATCCTGATCTCTATGGACCAATGGCTCCTGTTTGTTTTTTATTATTGCATTTCCTGTGTTTGATTCTCTGATCTGTTGTTGGTTAATCCACTCTGTAGCCCTGCTGTTGTGATTTAAGGCTAAGTTTTGTGTGTGTAGGTGATCCGGATCCAGAACATTCTGTCAGAGGAGCCTGTGGTGAAGCAGGTGTACGCAGACGACGGTCAGATCCTCCAGGGGTCGTCTGTGGCTGCTGTGTACGGAGACAAGCTGCTCATCGGCACTGTGTTCCACAAAGCCTTAATCTGTGATCTGAAGTAGTTCCAATAACAACACACTTTATAGAATAATATCTAGGCCTTCACAAAAGACATTCCAATGGAGCCTTCAGCCTTTAAAGCTGCACTAACTGACTTTGAGAAATTTTCGAATCAGAACGCTGAGCTCGCTCTCTCGCTGTCCAGATTGTTGATCATTCACGACACATGTAAATACAATATTTTCTATTAAATTAATCTTATGCAAAATTGTGTGTGATTTTGACGGGATAACGTGGCGTGTGAGAATGTCTATTGCACAAAACGATCTCCTGTGACTTAGTGATTGGCATTGATTTCAATCTATTACTGTGACATTGTTGTGAGAATAATAGTTTTAATTGCTGATGTCCAGTACGTATGATACAATGTTGGGGGGTGACTGTTGTGTTGGGTTTTTAAGTGGTAAATAAAATTATATTCTTGGTATTAATATGTTTATCATTTATAAATGACAATTAGTGATGGGCAGATTAATCTAAAAATATTGAATGTATTGATGGCGATGTTGAACAGGCTGGACAACTACTTGGACGTGACCTTGTTGGTGGTTTTGTACCCCTCGCCAGCTTAGACGGGGCAGTATCTCCTCCTTATTTTTTATTTCGTTTCACATTTTTCTGAACAAAATTCATCTATTGATGCTTGCAAGGTTTGAGAATCAAGTACTCCTGAGGCACGGTTAGCTTAAAACGTCAATAGTGTTTTATCCATAGACATACAGATATAAGATATCTTTATGTCTATGGTTTTAGCCTTTTAGCACTGAGCTTTGCACCCGCTTCTGTGCACAACAACGCTGGGAAAATGTATATGAATTTGACCTTATTGTTCAAAGGACACATTCATTACTCATGTTATATAATTGCTCCTCATCAAAAACAGGTTTTTTTCTTGGTCCACCCACGCCAATATCAGGACCTTATGGCACAAACGTAACGCTGCTCCTTCTGTCTTAAAGCTCCTGGCTGAGTCCTGTAATAGTCATTGTGTCAATATGACATTACTGCCTGTAAGTTTCTCAGATGAAAATGTCTTTACAATCATGTGGCTTCTACTACTCCCTCTGGTGTTAGAAGAGGGAGTTGCAGACATAAAGCTTCCCCCCTTTCATTCGTTTCACATTCTAAAACTTAATAGAGACCATTAATCTTGTAATATTAAGCTTTAACTCTAATTCATAAAATACACAAAAAAATATAAACCATATTTTATTTATCCTCAAACACATACATTCACAACAGGAACGTTTTAGTGTACTGTTTGACAATTTCCAGGTGAGCACTGACACCAATACAGTACCTACAAAGAAGCATTGAAATGATCGGAAAATAAAGATTGTACAAAATCAGTCCATAGTTCTATAGAGCTGCCTGAGGTTAGTGTGAGGTCTAGCTCTACATGAGGCCAATGTGAGGTCTAGCTCTACATGAGGTCTCCAACATGAGGTCCGGCTCCACTGTGACGAGACGATAGCAGCTGTGTGACCCTGCTTATTCTGTATGAGTCTTTACAAGCAGCAGATGTGTTCATATAGTGTAAAAATGTGTAACACTTTTGTAATCCAAGCAGGAAACATGCAGTGACTTCAAACTGTATTCCTGAACTTAGAAGCATGGCTAACCACATACAGCTATATTCCTGAGCTTAGAAGCATGGCTAACCACTTTAAACCTGTATTAATGCATTAAAAGTGTAGTTAACCACTTCAGATACATTTTTCAATTTAGAAGCATTGCTAAACATTTCAAACCTCCATCCATCCATTTTCTTCTCCTTAATCCATTTCTGGGTCTGTGGGTGGCAGTTAGAGCTGCACCCAGTACACGTAGCACCAGCCCCTCACTGATCCTCCTGCAGGTAGTGAGTCCACAGGAGCCTTGATCTTTCAGCGGGGGCTTCAAAGTGGGGTTAAATGTCTTGACCAAGGACACAACGACAGCAGACAGCGGTGTGAGTCGTGAAGTAGGTCTTGTGGTGGGCTCGAACCCACGACCTTCAGGCTCTAAGGCCAATGCTCTACCAACTGAGCCACTGTCGCTCAGTTGGTACCAGCGTTCCTGAATTTAGAAGCACAGCTATCCACATCAAACTAATCATGAACTTAGAAGCATGGCTAACCACTTCACACCTGAATTGATGAATTTAAAAGAATGGCTTACCACCTAACCTGTATTGCTGGACTTTGAAGCACAGCTAACCACTGCTGAACATTCATGAACATTGGTTGACCATGTATTTTATGACTTCTTTTATTGCATTGTCTTGTGTTAATTGTTGATTGTAACGCCCTAAAAAACTTGATTGGGGCGCTACAAAGATTTTGGAGCATTGCTAACCACTTTATACCAGTAGCCCTGCACTTAGAAGCACAACTAACCATTTAACAGCCATATTCATGCATTTATACGCGTGGCTGGCCACTTCAAACCTGTTTAATGCCCAAATATTTGTCATTAAAAGTAAGGAGTTAAAGTCTTATAAAATGAAAATATGAAAGTAAAGTCTTGGGTATTTTGAGAATAGTCCTTTGCTAATATTATGAAAAAAATGTTTGATTATTATTTAGATGTTTTTTGATTAATCCGGTGTCGACCTTTCCCCTCTTTTTTCAGTAACAGCTCAGTTTCGGTGACTTTGCTAATGGTAAACCTGGACTCGCCGGCGGTGGGAGACTGTACACATTGTTCTGTTGAAGTCGAAGGCCCTGAGTTTACCGGAACTTCAAAAAATATGCCTTCGTCTTCCTTCTCCGATTCCTTGATCACATCTTTGGTTTGTAGGTCTTTCTTTTCAACATTGAGGCCCTTGTATCCGTTGTTTCTCGCATTAGGTATATTGAGAAATATCTCGCTGATGCTTTTCCTGCGTTTTTGCCTGGGACTTTGCTCCAGAGGAAGAATATCCAGGATGTCACTGCAGCTTCTGGAGCGGTTTATATTCTCTGGAGGCTTCGGTTTTTTCGCTTCAATTGCAATCTGCCTTATGACAGTGTTGTAGTCGTCGTCGTTCGTTTCCGACAGAAAGTTAAAGATGTCTATGACCGTAGGCCTTATTTCCGGGACGTTATTATCCTCCTTCTTCTCCTCTTCCTCTTCTTCGTAGGGTTTCCTATGGTGTCGTAGCCTGCGCTTTTGGAACACTTTGTGAACCTCCACCACCATGTGCACGTTCCAGCTGAAGAACAGAGAGAGCCAGGCCAGTCCCATGTAGATCCAGAGCTCCGCAAAGACCCGGTACAGACGCGGGTAGGTGATGTTGGGATTGACCCCCGCCACGTAGTCCCCGAAGCCCACCGTGGTGAGCGTGATGAAGGAGAAGTACAGGCCCTCCAGGTACGTCCACTGCTCCAGAGACATGAAGACCAGCGGAGGGATGACCAGGTGCACCACCAGGCCCCAGAGGAGGAAGCAGACGGTGCAGGTCAACTGGACACGTTTCTGCGAACAGCAAGAAGTAACAATGTGTTTGATGGGAATGGAAGTAAGTAAGTTGGTAATCTATCTTTATTTATACAGCACAATATAACAGACCATGGTCACTCAAAGCACTTTACAATGGTCAGAGTTGATAATTTTCCATTTTCTCCACACAGTGATGCATCAAAGCCCTCCATCCAAACACCATCCATTCACTCACTCATTACATTCATACCTATTGTACATGTTTTTAGTGGTAGGGGAAACCCGACGCACCTGGAGGAAACCTACGCAGAGGGAGAACATGCAAACTCCACACAGAAAGGCCTGGAGGTGGAATCGAACCCACGGAATGGAGAGGACATACATTTATTATAGGGATGCACCAAGACAGACTTATGCCGATTCCAATACTTTGGGTTTCGATTGAGTTTGGAAGTGGGTTGAGCTTTGGGTCTGGAAGTAAAAGGCCTTAGTAAGTAAGTTAATCAAATTGGGCTGAAACCAGCAATGTGGTTATAAAGCGATCTCAAAGTTAGGTAAGCAAACGAAAAGAAAAAATCATCGGCCAAAGCGATGATATCAAACCAACATCTGGTACCCATATTGTATCAATGCATCTCTAGTATTTATAGCACATGTTACAATATGACAACTCGATATGCAATAAGCCGTGTGACAAAAAAAGAGGGGTGCCCTATATTCAAGTCACAGAAATGGAAAATCCATCTTAAAAACTCCTTTTCTCTCAAAACAGTCAAGTAACACATAGATGTATTTTTTTGCCTCTGTCACATCTTTAAATCCACTTTTTCAGACAGAAAAGTGACCAAGAGGGGATCAATCACAATCAGTTCTTATAACTGTACACAAGTTTCGACTTAATATAAAACATGAATTCATGAATGAATGAATACAACATGTGAACGCAACAATAAAACGTCATTTTCTTCACATACCACTGAAACACCTTTGCGGATGAGGACCTGGGATAGACGCCTGGCCCGGTCTCCAAAGAAGGATCCCAGCTGACTGATCCAGACCAGGCACAGGGGGATCCCACACAGACCGTACAGGATGCAGAAGACACGGCCGCCCTGCGTCTTTGGTGCCACATTCCCATAGCCTGCAGAACAAACGCATAGTTAACTGTACGACTGTAACGTAAACGCAGAACCGTGTCACTGAGATACTGCGGAGCCCTGACCTATAGTTGTGACGATAGTAGCAGCAAATATGACGGAGTTGCCCCAGTCCCACGCGTTTCGGTGGTTGTCCCCGGTGATGGCCACACCTTGTCCTGCAGCTCCAGCAACAGTCTAAAGAACGACACAATGGAGGTTATTTACGTACATGGTCATACCTATTTTTTCATGTATTTAATGGTCATTGTTTCTACAGATATGTTTTTCTGTACACTTTGTCAGCCAGTGACTGTTGATAGTTAATCTTGTCATGATAATGTTGGTGTAGTCCATATCATGTCTTCATAAAAGCATAAAGTACTTAAGTGACAATAAATACATTTGGAGGCCTTGAGGAAGACCCAGGACACACTGGAGGGTCTCTCAGATGGCCTGGGAACGCCTCAGGATCATGGATCTATTTGGATGAGCTTTCTGTTGAGACCGCTGCCTCTTCCCCCAGGAACAGATCAAGTGGAAGACAATGGAGGGATGTTCTCATGATGTAAATCCACTATATAATTGATATGAAATACAGTGGACCTCTGTGTTGTAACTTCTGCTCACGACCTTGTTTACATTCTGTTTGGAAGTATTTGTCGTCACAAACAAAGCAGCAGAGTGACACACCTCACTCAGACATTCCCAGCTCTGTTGGTGCATGCGCACTTCTGCTCAGCTACTCCTCACATGTGTATTAAACATGTACCAAAGTAATTACGTCCGCTGTGGACCTGGCGCTTTGTGCCAACTCTGGACCAGAAAACTGGTTTGGCGGCTTTCAACGGACTATTTATAAGTTACGGAGAGCACAGGATGCGTTATTGACCATTGTAGTCTCAACATTAAGAACAATGTTTAGATTTGTGTGTGTTTTAGTTAAACTATCAAGTAGCCCAATATTCTGCCAGTTACCGCACTTCTTTAATTTATGGGAATGTTCTATTCCTCACACTTACCTCCAGAATATCATCCAAATCCTCTTTAGTCAAACATGTATACTTTGTCAGGATGTGCTTCTTGTCCTGTAAAAACTTGTCTTTGGCGGAGATCCAGTTCGCCTCTTCGAGAATCTGGAAAATCGCGGCTCCGATGGATAAATAAAATATAACACATGCAGTCAGAAAAGGACCTTTATCGGCCATAGTCTAACTTCAGTCATAACATATTTTTGGACGAGCTCATTCCCACAGTGGGCTGGCGTTGCCGCGCGTCTCGCTGCTTCCTGGTGCTGTGAGGAGTGAGGGTGGTGCTTTCGGGTTGGTCCCGGGACAGGGAGTGTTTTTAAGTGGAAACTTCCTTACTTCTTCCAACAAACGCTAGACTGGAGGATGTTTGTTTGTTTGGTAACATCCCATGTGTATAGTGTGCGCTTGGGTCTTATGTGCGCGTGCGCCGGGATAGGATTTGGTCAACAACGCAAACTCGAATATTAAACCTTTTTGGACTTAGATGTTTGTGGAAAAAAACGAGATTTCTCTACAGCATTAGACCGCTGAGTAATATATGCAATACCATTATTCAAGCAAGACACCGCGATCGCCTAGTTCCATTTTAAATAATTGTTTTCTTCCTCATTTGTCCGCCTCCACAAACAGTTTACATTAATGTGCTTTCAAACCATAACAATGGAGAAACCATCAAACAAGTTCTATCATAAGACTTCATCCGCGTGTATTGTTGGCCTCTCTCGGCCCAAAAAGTCAAAAGGATAACTCACATGGTTCTTATATAAGTACGCAAAATATGCCAAGCATCTTAAAGACTGATTTAACCTTTTCCAAGACTCTTTGAGAAAAAACCAATATGGATTATTTATGAAAAAACAGTATCCCAACTTTAGTCTAGACAATCATGATTCATCTAACAGTTGATTGTCATTAGGTCAGGAGCCCATTGGGAGCATAATTCATAACGAATGGTCTTGTTTCTTCTGTCTGGTCTAGGGTTTAACGCGCGGCATGAGGATCTGCGTGTGCTTGAGCCGTTGGCCTTATCTCACACATGGAGACTCCAGAAGAGAAGCCTTTATCACACATGAGGGTGTTCCCTCGTGCACGGGTCGATAAACAGGGTTCCCCCGCAGTCCTATGTCACAGGTCTGTGTGGATTCTTGTGCAGGGGATACTTGGCTTTTCATTATGATTTCTTTTTTAACTATTATGTATGTGGAAAGGGATGTGCATCTTGTATGCATTTTAATGCGTATAGCATAGATGTATGTTATCGGATTTTATTACCAAATTGTTAAATTGAATTGTGTTAATTTTATCTCTGCGCAGAACTTTGGAAACTTGTTTTATGTTATAAAAAATATATATGTTATATAAATAAAGTGGATTCAATCTTTCTCAGTTCCGCTATTCTAATATTGTGTCCAATCTATGAGCTTTACATAGCTTCCTATGGTGTCATCTCTGTGTGTGTCTGTATCTGTGGGATGACAGAGCCTACATGATGCTCTGGAACTAATTTGCCTAATTGGACCCCCCTTCCCCCGCCCCTCTTCCCCATCTGACGGAGAGGTCTCCTGGGATTTCAAGGACGTCGTTATATGCAGATCAAATGGGTAGTTAATTGTGCATCATCTTGATTAAAAGGTGGTTTTATTCTTGTTCCCTTTGGTACACCTGAGGAGAAAACAGTCTACGCGCACGTCTCAATAGCACCCCCTAGTGGGACAGGCTGATCTGAGAACACGAGAGTAAAGTAACAACAGTGTGACCATGGCCCATAGTCATCAGTCCTGTCCTGTCCATAGTCCTGCCCACAGCTGACGCTTAAAGCAGGTGATTAAGGTCAAAACCATTACCAGCAGCAGCGCCTGCAGGAGTGATTGAGACGGCTGCTAGTCTTTCCCCGTGTTTAACTTAACTGCACATCTTGAAATAAGCAGTTTCCCAAGTTTGTTGTGACTATACTCCACTCTTCTGCAGTGTTGAGTAACGTGCTCTGAGGCGGTGACGGAACTCTAGGTCCCCTCCCAGCTCCACTATCGTCACGGAATCTGCGTCACTGCGTCAGTCTCAAACCTGCAGATTACACCTGCGACTTCAGGACGACACACCGCGGTCCGCACCGGGGGAGAAGGATCTCTGTACCTGTGCTGGGAGAGAGAGGAGCGGGGTCTGGCACAGAGGCGCACCGGGGTCTGGCGCAGGTGAGACTCATCTGAACTATTGACAGCAGCATAAACATATTCCATGCGAAAGAATCAGGTGTTTTAAAGTTGAAGTCGCGCTTGGACTCCCACAGCGCATGGTTATTCCTGCTCCACATCCCAGCGTGTGGCCTCATAGACTCATCAGTCAGAGGTTATAGGAGCCAGGTGAGTGTTTGCTCAACTGTCTATTACAATCTATTACATGAACTGGTGACGGGACGGGGGCATGTCTGATGTAACCTGTCCTGGTCTGCTTTTCTGACATTCATCTAATCCACGTTGACCTGAATAGGAACTGTGTTATCAGGAAACGTGTTTATATTCGTCATGGACATATTTCAATATTTATTAGGGTTGTATTATTGTGTTTCTGACCCATTCTGTTTCTTGTCTTCACTCTGCCTGCTCACCCCTGGACTTCTGCTGCTGCGGTGGTCTGCACATCGACCTGATGTGAGTATTTTTCCTTTTGCCTTATATGTGACTGTGACGTAATGAGCACATATCAATTTATATTATTAGTAAAATGTTGCTGGGTGGTAAAAGAGCTACATCTCCAATAATGAACTGTAAAATGGAGCATTTTCTGCACTTCATACATGTAGTGTCTTTGGGAGGAGTTGCTGAAGTCCTTCTTAAGTTTTATCTCCTCTAAACACATGCTCCCAGCATGCACTGCTCTGTCAGCTTCACTCTCAGTCTCCAACACACAACATTCCGCTTTTGAAATGAGGACTCCAGCTTATTCACTTTGTCACGTGCTGAGATGACTTCACATGTACATATTTTGACGTCAATTGTTTTTGTCCCACAACAACAGCTTGGTACAGCAGGGGGCAGTGTAGACCAGGGGCATGGAGGATCAAATACAATAACACGGCTTATTTGGCCCAGAATGCCCGCTGCATTTGCTCAGTCTTTCACCAATAGCATTAGACACGATATAAACTAGTGAATCCTTACGTATCCTTTGTGATCTTATAATTATTATGATTGATACGTGATGATATAAACGCACATAGTGGGATATAGTTGACAAGAGAAGGTCAGAAGAAAAACATAACATGGAGAGGCTTATAAATGCTTCATAACATAATGCAGGACTATGAATATTTAAGCAGTCACCATCCATCCTGCAGCACGCCCTGTTCTGTGCTCGAGGAAGCGGCCCGCTCCCATTTTATTCAAGCTCACATTTTTTGAAAACACAAATTTTAGAATTTTGCATATGGGGATACACACCTTGTATGAATGTGGCTATGGGCACATATCATAATTAAACTGTGAACTGTGTTAAATGGAATCGTTCTCAGTTCCACCTGCCTAACATTTTGCTTTACAATGTACCTGCATCTATGAACTTCACATAGCTTCCTAGGCTGTCCTTTTTCACAAATATATGTATAGAAACAGAATTATAGAATTTCAATGTATTTGAAATCTGTGATAGAATACAAATAAATGCTAGATGAAACAGCACTGTGCAAATCTGTGTTGAGAATCAAAGTGAAATAAGCTGGGCGATGTAGGCAGTAGTGATGTTATGTAACAGGAGATGGATGGAGCCAGAGAGGGATAAAGATGTCCCTACCAAACCTAGCCCTGTTCACTCGGCTGAGGGAACGTGCCTCTGCTCTTCAATAAATGAGGAAGATGAGGACAGTTGGGGCCTTTATTAGGGCTGCACCAAAATTGCAAAATATCTACTTGCGAAATTTATGACCAACATTGGGATTGCGATGCTTCACAGTCTATGTTTTCATCTGACCATATTCTTCCAATCCTCTTCTGAATCATTCAAGTGCTCTCAAGCAAACTTCAAAGAACACCATACCTACTGTTAAGCATGGGGGTGGGAACATCAAGCTTTGGGGTTGTTTTTCTTTTGTTTTGTGTAAAGGGGCCATCCGACCATTCGTCGGGCGACTTTGTCAACAGTGTCGTGAATATACGCATGTGCATACGCATGTTTGTCTAGCTGAGTTTTTGCGGCACAGCAGAGGTAGTGGGTACAGCGACAGAGCAGGGAGACGAAGACAAAATAAGAGATAAACCAGGACTGACAAAGAGGGGTAGTGCATGTGGATCATAGACTGTAAATATTAAAGGACGTAATAACGTAAAAGCGCATTTGCGCATGCGTTAGCATTCAAAAGTCCACAGCGGCTAAACTAGGCCGTTCCAAAAAACAACACAAATTCTACTAACATTATCGCTGATAAGGAAGTACTTAATCCTATCAGTAATATAATAAAATACATCCATGGCACAAATCTGTAATCAGATTCTGCTTTAATCTGACTTCTTTGACTTCACACACTCCACAGAGTTGTACTCGTGTTGAATGTAGGCCCTTTATGCCCTTTGAACGTTTCTACCAGGCCCCTGTCGCTCTGGAATAAAGGTTTCGCACAGAGCTATGGAGCCACAGTCGCACTCCTTGTTCTGGCCCAATTTATAATACAATATTTTTATGTGTAAAAAATTCAGCCTGAGAAAATATTGGAAATTAGACAGCAGGCTGATATTTCAATGTGGCCCTTGGAGGAAAAGTTTGCCCATGCCTGTGCTAGCTCAAACTTATTTGCAAACTCGTCCACTACTTACGGCCTGCGTTTGTTGGAGGCATCACAAGTTGATGGTTTTAATAACTCATTTGTCCAAACCGCAATAAGCTGGGTTGATGCGGTGTCAATGCCCCTTAAAGGAAAGAATGACCGGGGCCGTATTTTGAGTGAAAACCTCTTTCACATCAGCAAGGGCATTAGCAGTGAAGATGAAACGTTGCTGTTTGATGTCAAATTTCTAGATTTTTCCCCATTTTTTTCTTTCACAGTTGAGGTATACCTATGATGACATTAACAGGCATCTGTCATCTTTTTAAGTGGGAGGACTTAAAGAAATGGTGGCAACTTTTTTACCCCAGCTTTAATGCACACAATATCAGTTTCATTACTGCATGCATTTATTACATATGAACATAATGTGTGAGTGAATAGATGGTGTTGGTTGGGGCTCTGATGAGCCTGCGTGGTCGGCATCTCACTTCCGTCATCACCGCGTGGAGAGAGAATGGAGAAAAATCTGCGTGAACTCTGGACATTTTAAAGCGCTTTGGGTGACCTTTGTCTGTAAAATGCGCTATATAAATACACAGTACTAACTTACTTACCAACATAGTTCTAAAATAATGAATAAAAAAGATTTAAAAATGTTTTTAGTTATGCCGTGCTTTTGTTGTTGTAGTTTGAAAGTTACATTCCCCAGCTTTAATTCACAAAGTCAACACCTCAGTATTGAAATCGGTGTTGTTACTTATCTTCATTGTTGCGGTTGGAAATTTACATACCCCAGCTTTAATACTCACTCCCAATAAAACTACAGTCACAGTGATGAATTTATGACACTATTGTTGTGGTTTGAAAGTCACGTAGCCCAGCTTTAAACAAATGGACAATACAGTCAAATGACAGTTGCTTTATGTAAATACATTCACTCCAGTGCATGTTTTAAGTCTCTCAAACGCTGCACATCACCGAGCCTGAGTGAGAGGCGAGCTGCTGTTGCTGGGAGTGTCTCTGTCCCGTCTCTGTCACCGTCTCTGTCCCGGGGGGATTGGGCCTCTCCTCTGGGCTCCAGCCTCACACCTGCTCCAGCAGTTCCACACACGGCTCGGCTTTGTTTACCTCGTCTCCCCTCTTCAGTTCGGGCAGTGATTTGTCATACAGCAGTCACAGCGACGGCCGAGCAGCAAGATTCAACGCAATGGAATTGAAATGTTGTAATTTGAGTGGTCGCAATTAGCCAATGACAAAAAAAAATTGCATTAGGGCTTTGCAAACAATAGCTCTTGGTTAAATGAGATTAATAAATTAAATACATAAAATAATGTCATAAGCAAAAATAACTAAATAAATAAAATAACTAAATAAATAAAATCCTAATAAGATATTTTACTTTTTTGGTTGAATGAGTATCTTTCACCATTATGTTATAATTTTCAAGGGAGTTTGCTTCTTTATGGGCACATACTAAGAAGAAGAAAATGTTCTGAAATGTATAGAAGATTAAAAAATAAAAGTAATTAAAGCTGGGATGCATAACGTTTATTTGTATTCTATGTCCCAACAGAAAAAGTCTTGTAAAAGTCAAATTTCTTTCACAATCTCTTTTAAAAAACAAACATATTATCTTTTGCATACTTATAAGGACGAGCCCTGTGAGTCAGTATTTGACAATATGGGCTTGAGTGAGGGTGGGCTTCTCTTGTTTAACTTTTTTGTCAGAAAAAGCTAATCTAAAGACAGAGGCTCAAAAAAAATACATGCATAATGTATTTGCATATATATGAAAAATATTGAGAGAAGCACTTCTAGAAATGCATTGCTTCCTTTTGTTTGTTGTTTGAAAGGTAGAAAATTCATCTTACATAATTGCACTTTCTACATAATTATAGTGTAAATCTAATCGCAACGTTCATCAGAAAAATCACAGTTATAGATTCTTTGCCAAAATCGTGCAGCCCGAGATAAGGTAAATGTTTAACAATGCCAGGGGTTTGTATCGGATCAAAGTCTAAAGCAGAAAATAAGAATCAACAGTGAGACTTTCACTGTGTGAGACTGGGCTTGTGTCCTAAATCCAATCTGCACCATACTGTTTGGAATACAAGCATTTTTTGGGGAGAAATCTTTTCGAAGGGTAAGAGAATTGACTTGTTTGACGTGGTCAGTGTGCGCCTTCTGCAGAGGGACTAATGACGCCTTTTCTCCCTCCGCTGCTGTGAGCCATGTGTCTGTAATGAGGTCGGCCAGATGGGAAGACCCCGATTCTGGCTTCGCATAAACAAGCCATTAGCATGTGGAAGCGGTGTGTTTGTTTGGAAAACGTCAAGCAAATATAGACTTAGGCCACTTTTATTCTTGCAACATTTCTTTAAAGCTGGACTACCTACCATCGAAATCACAAAAAGTTTACTATGAATCAATGTAACAAGCAGTAGTAGTTCCTTGCGTCAAAATAGTTTGGTTCTATCAGCAGGT